AGCCCCTTTCTGTGGGTGCTCCCCCACAGGCAGGGGTGAGCCTCCCTGCTGATGGTGCTGCCTGGCAGTGATGCCTGGGCAGGGGGAAAAATGGCATCTTTATTGTCATCACCATTCTCCTCTCCCAGGAGATCAATGTTAACATCATCGTTATCATCCTCGTACTCCCCCCCGCCCTGCTCATTCTTGGACTCAAGGAGCTGATTAAGAGGACCATCTGTCTCTGTGTCTTCCACTATAACCCCCAGCATACGCTCTCCACAGAAAACTTCTCCATAGTTTTTCAGCAGCCTCGGAGAGACACAGGTCGGACTTTGACGCCACCGACACCCGCAGTCAATGTTCCAGGATCCTGGCTGGCATGTTGCTGCAGTACTCACATGATGTTGAGTCTGCCATGCATGTGATACAGAGGGGACGGGGATCCTTCCCCAAAATAGTGAACCCACAAGCAGCCAGACAAGGACAGAAAGTGACATCCCTACCCTTGCTGCTACTAGTGTTTGGAGTGGCAGTAGCCATTCCACCTGATGTGAGAAGCAGCTAGCTAGCCACATACAGTGAGGCAAATAAGTATTTGATACACTGCCGATTTTTCAAGTTTTCCCACTTACAGAGAATGGACAGTTCTGTAATTTTCATCGTAGGTACACCTCAACTGTGAGAGACAGAATCTACCAAAAAAATCCAGTAAATCACATTGTTAGATTTTTAAATAATTTATTTCCATTTTATTGCATGAAATAAGTATTTGATCACCCACCAACCAGCAAGAATTCTGGCTCTCACAGACCTGTTAGTTTGTCTTTAAGAAGCCCTCCTATCCTCTACTCATTACCTGTATTAATTGCACCTGTTTGAACTTGTTACCTGTATAAAAGACACCTGTCCACACACTCAATCTATCAGATTCCAACTCCTCCACTATGGGCAAGACCAAAGAGCTGTCTAAGGACACTAGGGACAAAATTGTAGACCCTCACAAGGCTGGGATGGGCTACAGGACAATAGGCAAACAGCTTGGTGGAATTATTAGACAATGGAAGAAATTCAAGATGACTGTCAATCTCCCTCGGACTGGGGCTCCATGCAAGATCTCTCAGCTCAGCGCTTCCTCTGTGTCTGTAGCAAGTAAATGGTCTAATACTTGTATAGCACCTTTCTATGCTTTTACAGTACACTCGCTTTCACATTCTTTGGCCATTCACCCATTCGCACTCCCAAGCGCTCACGCATTCACACACCGGTGACATCACCGGGAGCAACTGGGGATTCAGTGTCTTGCTCAAGGACACTTCGACATGTTGACTGGACAAG